ACAGCTCGGGTACGACGTAAGCGTCTGATGATACACGAGCCAAAGTGATGGAAGGGTGGATACGATCATGTGTGTCTCCCCCAATTAGATACGGAGACACACTTTCGATTGCTGCCTACATCTTATATCTGACGGATTCTTCCAAGATCGCACAACGCTTTTCTTTCTCAGCGATCTCGACATTCTTCCGGTGAGGAGTGTCGTTGGGATTTCGCCAGTGACAAACCATCCTCATTTCTGACGGCATGTGTTGTCCATTGGTCCGTCAGAGCTGGACATCATCGAGCAACACAGGAAGACACTCAAGATACGATGGTGGTACTCATGGGCAAACCGGGCGCAGGTACAGTACGTGTTGGTCAGTCAGTGGGTTGGTGGATGGATGGATGGATGGATGGCTGGTTGGCACACACCACAAGCGGCCGAGATCCACGAGCTGGATCAGCAGGAGGAGGAGGAGGAGGCGCTGCGGGGCTCTGATCGAGGTGACCGCGACGACACGGGCGCTGCTGCTGCCGAGGAGGACCATAGGGAGGAATGGTTGGAGAGGGCAAGGGCGACGGTCGAGCGGAGCGAGGTCAACAAGGCCACCTACCTCGATGACGTGGATGAGGTCAGACACATCCATCCTGCCCTCTCTTTGCATATATGCGTTGCGATGTCGTGTGGTGTTATTTCAGGTTCCCTTCCCCCGCACGCCTCCGCACCCGCAAACTCCCGCGCGCGCTACCCGCACACTCTCGACCCCTCGCGAGCAAGGATGCCTTGCCGCTCTCTCACGGTCGTGGTGGCCCTCCTCTCTCTCTCCCTGGCCTTCCAGCCCCTCCTCGTGCGGAGGAGGTCCAGGCCGAGTCCTACCTCATCACCGACCCTGAGGAGTGTCTGGGCTTGCTGCCCGCACTCTTCGGGGTCAGTGACGACGGCGGCCACGTCCCGCCCGGGTGGGACCTCTCGGCTGACGACCTGCAGGCCATCATGGGCAAGTGAGAGCAGAAGAACCCGCTGCCCGATGACGACGAGGCCGACGAGGGTGGGGATGACGGCGAGTGGTACTACAATGACGACGAGGACGCCAGGGCGGGAGGGGCGGGGCGCGGCCGCACCAGGTCGACGGCCAACATGACGAAAACAACGACGAGCTGCCAAGTAAGAGAGACACCCATTCATGTGTGTGTGTTACCTTGTGTGTGCGTATGTGTCTGTGTGTCGGTGTGTTCAGGTGCCGCACCCGCGGCCTTTGCTTATGCTGCCGCTGCTGCTGCTGCTGCCACTCGACCTCGTCCTCCTGGCGCCCGCCAGCCGCCCCTCGTTCTCCGGGGCAGCAACACACACAGCCTTCCATAGCTATACACAGCCACACCCACCCACCCCACCCCACTATGCGCATACTATGCACACACACAGACAGAAGACAGGCACCAACACACACATGTAGAGGGAGATTTCTGGAAGGGGTAGCTGTGCCATGCATGTGCTATCGCGTGTTTTCTAATTGAGCAGCGGTGGGAGAGTAAGAGATGTACAGAGAGGGGGGGAGAGACCGACCGACCGACACAGATTCAGCGAGGGGGGAGCCGTGTGTGCTCGAATAGGCGGGCAGGCTGATGTTGCTTTTAAGAGCGCTGCTGGTGCCTGCCACGACAGCGACAGCAGCATGCAGGACAAGGCGCAGCGTCTGGCCCGGCTGCTCAAGGGTGTGACCAAGCCAGAGAAGGACCGCATGCTGGAATGATCCTTCGGCCACTGCGCCAATACGACACTCAGGTATGACCAGAGGACTTTTCATGACCTTTCTACATCTCATGTCTCCTCTGCCTTGTGTAGATCGCCGCCTACATTTTATATCTGTGGGCCTTTTCTGCTCTTCTGCCGATGTGCCACACCTATCGTCATGCCCCACCCCGCTTATTCGACACTGCCCTGCCGACCGCCATGCCCATTGATTCATCTCCGCCCCTTTCATCCGACCGGCAGTTGGCAGCAGACGTCCTCCACCACCCACGTGGCCTTCACTACATCGCCGTGGCTCAGCTGAGTGGCGGACCGCATCCACTCGCGATGGCCGCTCATGATGGTCGCATGTGACGGATGCGTGGATAATAGGCAGACAGGCAAGACAGGCAGGCCGATTTTGCTTTTAAGAGGGTTGCTGCTTGTCAAGGTGTTTTGTGAAGAGAATCCTTGAATATGACACACATGAACGTGAAGTGTCTCCACCCCCACATATCAACAAGAAGCTGTCCATCCATCCATCCATCCATCCCCCCATGCACCGGCTTCACGACCACCCGTGGCTAGAAATGTCAGCTGTGCGCACCCTCACAGACAGCCGTCGTCCGTCCTTCCCACTCTGTGTACACGAGTCAGTCAGGGGATAGACAGATCCTCGCCGAGCGCTGAAAGGCCTCCGAGTCCCTCCACTCACACCGCCGACCATCACCCATCAGTGACCCACACAGCAACACCAGGCTTGCTGGTAGCGATGAATAACGAAGACACCACGGCTCGCTCCTAAACAGTGAACACCACACACATGGAGAGAAGAAGAGAAATGCATGGCTGACAGACTTCGTGTGTGTGTGCAGGTTTTCTTCCTCCGCCTCCGCCGTTCGCTGACGCACACCTGGCACACAACAACACAATGGCAGAACGCATCTCGCATGTGTGAATGATATCAGCCTCCTCACAGACAATTGCAAAGCCCCAGATCTGCTTCAATTTCTCGCGCGAGTCGTCAGCATGAGGCGGCGGCTGTCAGAAGATGTGATGCCTTTCGCTGTCGCTTGGCGCGGGCGCTTCACGCCCTACTCCGCCGCTTGTCTGCGAGCTCGAAGACGATCCACTCGGAGAGACAAAGGGAAAGGGCTCGGAGGGAAGGTGAGAGGGGAGGGGAGGCGTGTTTGTTTCCGTTGTTGTTATCGTCCGTCTGTCGCCGGTTCTCGCTGACTCAGACGTGAGTGCCGTGGTCAGTCGGCTATGGAGGAGTTGACGGAAACCATCGCCCATTTGGAGTTGCCGGACGCCGTCAAGGCTGAGGCGTACGCACTCCTTCTTAAGCTCCTCAGAAAGTAAGAAGGCGACCAACAGAAGATGCTGAAGGCGTATGTTGTTCGGTTCTGACTGTCTTTCTGTCCGTCCGTCAGCATCGTATCGAACCCCTCAGAGGCCAAGTATCGCACTATCAAGCGGACCAATGCCACCATCAAGGCCAAAGTAGGCAGGCCAGAAGGAGAGATGGATGGACAGAAACAGGCGGCAGGGTGCGAGATGGGATGCGTGTGTGCGTGGGTGTTCTGTCGTTGACACAGCTGTTTCTGGACGGGGCGCCCGAGGGCATTCTGTTTGAGGATGTCATCAGGCATTGCGGCTTCAACGAGGTCCGAAAAAAACACACGCCTCCCCCACCGCCGTGTGTGTTTGTTCAGCAACTGTGTGTGCATGGAACAGGTTGGCGAGACGTTCGTGTACCCGATGTCTGCGGCCGCGTCTGCCCTGGAGCCCTTCTGCGACACTTTTGAGGGCATCCTAGTCAGCCTCAACCATGAGCCACAGCAGCAGTCGCAGCAGCAGCCACAGGTAAGGCAGGCGGGCATTGGCGTGAGGGCTCCTCATCCATCGGTTGTGTGTGTGGTGTGGCGTGTTCTTCGTTCAGGTTTCGGTTGAGCGGCCCAAGTTTCAGAACATTGTCCCTGCCCAGAAGACACTGCGGGCGCAGGCAGAGCTGGTAAGGCTCAATGACCAACACACAACACACAACACATGGTACACACAGGCACGTCGTATGCATCTCTTTCTTTTCCCACCACACACACCGTCTTTCTGCAGAAGAGTCACAACGAGCAGATGGCGCAGATCCGGGCAGAGAAGCGCAAACAGTTTGAGGTGAGTGAGCTGGGCAACACGTGTGACCGGCAACACCACAGACGGACCATTCGCCCTTTTGTGTGTGTCTGGCATGTGCCTGCAGGGTCCGGCCAGCCCTGGCTCGATGAGCCCCAAGGCCTCTGGGACGCTGGCGCCGCCACCAGATAACGTCGGGCCGCGATCGGAGAGCTCCAACAGCATCTCTGGGTGGGGGTGGGTCGGTGACTGGGACAGGCAACACCAGGACATGACGGGTATAGCTCAGCAGACGTGCTCTCCTGTGTTCGTGTGTTTGGTGGCTTCAGCAAGTCTGACAGTAGTGCTCCCAGCAAGGGCGGCAAGACGGCGTTTGACTTCAAGAAACGGATCGACACTGCCGAGGCCATCAAGGTGCGTGTGTGAGATAGGGGGAGCGGGAGGGACAGATCTGGGACACAGGGACAGCAAGCCCTCCATCTCTCTCTGTGCATTGCAGAAGAGCAACGATGAGTTGAGTGCCCTTCGCGCGCAGCAGCGGGCCAGGTTCAGCAACTTCCAAAACGATCCCAACCGATATGACGCACCCCAATACCAACAGCCGGTAACCAACAACACAACACAACACATCATGCCACACCCAACACACCAACAACACCCCATGTCGGTGCCCTCCGTGTGCAGCCCTCCTCCATCCCTCCGCAGAGCGGCAACGCTTCTGGCTCGTCGGGGATAAGCAAGTTCTTCAACACGCTGTTCGGCGGCGGCAGCTCCTCGTCGGGCGGGGGAGGTGGCGGGGGTGGGGGGAGTGGCAAGAAACCAGGGCCGGGCGGGGGAGCTGGAGCGGTCAAAACCATACAGGCACGGACACTGGCAGATGGATGGCACTGTGTCGACATGTCTCATGTGTGCTTTGCCCGTTCGTGGCCATGTGTATATGTGCGTGTGTGTTCAGGACTTGCCCAAGCCCCCTCCCCCTAGGGGCGGATGACGCTAAAGTGGACCTTCCGTTGGTAGGACGACATACACACACCACGCAATGACTCGCGCTCTCACATGCAGCGGTGCTTGGTTTCTCAGGCGGTCGCGGTCAATCGCACGGCGGCAAATCGACGGAAGGGCCACATTACTCATCTGGTCGACGGACGGCCTCCATACTCGTGCTGCGACGAATGACGGGGGGCGGTGAATCCTGCAGGGAGCCGCCCGCCTGATGTGTTGCGTGCGCGAGGGGGCTGGGCTGTCGGCCATGTTGTTTGTTTGGTTATGGCACGTGCTTTGGGGGGTGGGTGGGGGATTTGTTGCCTAAAGACAGACCGGTGTGTCTTGTTACTGTGCTTCCGGCGCAGTACCCCTGCGCGCGGACTGCACGATGGGCAGCCACAACACAACACGGGAGCGGGAGGACTTTTTGTGTGGTGTGTTGGTGCGGTATGGTTGCTGCGTTTGTGGATGGCATGCTGGCGTGCAGTGCATGAGTTGCATCCACGTGTCAAGTTTTTGCTGCCTCCTGTGCACCTGCGGGACGGTGTATACCACGCATCAATGCCTACGAGTGTCCGTCAGTTAACTGCCTAGCGGAAGGGAAGCACCAACCACTGCGCGGCCTCAATCAAGGCTGCTCACCCTGCCCCCCCGATGCAGCCATGTTGCGCTTCAGCTCCAGTGTCTTGTCGATCAGACGTCTCAGCACAGGCAGCCACCTGACACACATGACACACACATGTGGTCTTCTTCGTGCATGCGCACTTCAGCTGTGTGTACCGACCGGTATGTGTATGCGGCCGGGTCGTATTCGCGCGCGAGTGCCACTGCCTCTGCCGTCAGCTCTGCACGATAAGCTGGGCTCTGGATGAGCCTGTCGAGCAGCCGGATGGCCTGCTCGTCCATGTCCACCACCGTCCTCATCTTTGAACGCAGAGTCACATCATGCACCCCGGCCACCCTACAGAAACACCCCACACCCCCACACACACTGCATAAGCACGTCCGCCACTCTCTGCGTCTCTCACTCACCCGTGGTGTGCGATAGTGGGAATGCCCATGGCGAGGTGTGTGACGAACCACGATGGGAAGGTGAAGAGCCGCCGCTCGTCGGGGGTGGTCTCGTCGACCTTCTTGGACAACACGGGAGTGGCGTCGGGCGAGCTGGAGGGGGCCCACACCACACCGATGTCAAAACGAGACAGCTCATTTGTCAGCAAAGCTGTCGCGTTCTGACACAGACAGACAGACAGACGGAGAAGGAGGGAGAGACACGTGTAGATGGATGTCTGTGTGGATTTATTTGTGGTGTGTCTCGGACCTCCTGCAGCGCCTTGGATCTCTCCTCCCGGTCCTTCCACACATCGTTGGGCAAATCCAACACCCTCACCTTATCTGCAGACATCAAATCAATCAGCCACCCACACACCACTCTGACCTTTGCGTTGTGTGCCGTGTGTCCTCTTTTCCCTTGCCAACCTGGTGTGTATCGCCGCTTGACATGTGTCTTGACTTTGTCGATGAACGACCGGACGCTCTCGCACCCAGGCTTGAAGCAGCAACCGAGGGAATCCTCTTTCCCTGGACACCTGCAATGCAGAGAAGAAGAATCCACAAAAACGGTATTTATGTGTAGGACTTTTCTCCCGCACCCGATGCTCTCGCTGCAGCAGCTCGTGTGAAAGCCGACTGTCAAGGGTCGGTCGGCAGGATTGGCCAGATCGGTTGCCTGAGACAAGGAAACTATGCGGTGGACCTTCCCTTGTGTTGATGCTTTCTATGTGACGGTCATTGTGACCTTCGCGAGTGCCTGCAGGCGCCACACGCTCTCCCTCTTGACGGCCAGAGGAGCAGGCAGCAGAAAGACATCGGGGGGGTCGCCGGGCAGCTTGGCGGCCTCCTCCCGCCACTTCTGCCACATGTATAGGTTGCTGGTCAGATACACAGCCACTGGGACGCCCAGTGTGGGCACGACCCCATCGATGACCGGCCCTTTGGCGGCGTCGTTGACCAGGACGGCGTGAGCGGTCGAGTACAGCACGTCCTCGTCTAGACAATCGCACCTGGACCAAGAGAAAGAGTCCTTCCGTGTTTATTCCTGCTCTCTGTGTCTCTGTTCGTCTGTCTGTCTGTCTGTCGGTCTGTCTGTCATACCAGCCATTGACGTGCACGGCCGCCAGGAACCGGAAGCCCATTGTGCCCTTCGACCCCGAGCGGAAGCAGGCCGTGTCGCACGACAAGCAGCTGGCGTGCAGCCGGATGCGCCCCTGGTCCTGGGGGCTCTTGGACCAGTCGAAGGTCTGTGTGTTGAGCTCCCTGATGAGCCGCTCCGTCTCGTGGCAGAGGATATGGGAGGACCCGTACTTGTTCATGGTGTCGCCGTTGATCAGCCAGATGAACACACTCCCCCGCTGCTCATACCAGTCCAGCAGAGTCTCCGGGTCCAGCAATGAGGCGGGAGGGAACACCACCGGGGGCGTCTGCTGTGCCAGCTGTGAGTCCAGCAGCCGCACGTCGAGATCAGCAAACCGCTCCAGCCAGTTCTTGACGACGCCTGCCGTGCCCTCAAAGTCCTCACTGTCGTACATCATGGCATCGACAGGCAGAGTGCGGTTGGCATCCTGGTGGCTGGCCCTGATCATCCTGGGCAGCATGACGTGAGCAGCAACCGATTTGACCTTCTTTCTGCCCGCTTTCCCCTGCAGATAGGGGCCGCCGCCCTGGCCGCCTTGTGTGTGTGTGGTGGTGGTGCCACTGCCCCCGTTCTGCCAGACAGCGTTGAAGACCTCCATGAATGCGTATGCGGCCAGCCAGAGGGCGGCGACGATGAGGGAGATCTTGATGATCTTGGCGCGGTAGTTGACCCAGGCGATGGATACCTTGTTGGGCTCACAGAAGCCATTAGATAGCTTGATCTTCTCCTCTGATGCGTCCGTAGCGTTGCTGCTGCTGACAGCAGGCTGTGCGCCGCCTGCAACGTCGGCGTTGCGGGAGGTCGCAGCGGTAAATCCGGCACTCATGGCGTCTGGAGTATCGGCGGATGAGGGCTTCAGTTTGATGAGCGGCATCTCTGCCGGAAAGGTTTGATCGCGGCGAGGATCTTTAATCATTCTGGCCGTGCAGCTCTTGCCAGCTGCGTCATGTACAGTACTGGCCAGTCCAATTCCACGCACAAAACGTCAAAACAGCGGCCCGACATTTGTCCGAGTGCCATGAATGCATCCCGCATCACATTCATATTTTGCTCTGTACTCGGACGTCTTCCTCATGCAGCTCGGCATCGTGACCCAACTTCTGCAATCAGGGAGATGAACAGACCCAGACACAGAGAGGAGCGGGTGTTCACGCGCATCGCACATGCACTCTGACTGACAGACAGACCTGCAGGAGGTCGTCTGCCACCCTCAGCACCGAACTCTCCTCCCGCCCCTCGACCGTGACGCACACGTAGAACTGCATTCATCCATCCAACACGCATACACATGACATGTACGCGGACGTCAGTCAACACATCCATCATGCAGCAATCGATGTATATGTCTGCACGACCGACCGACCTGTAGCGTATGGTACACTTTCCCTTGGTCGGTCACGATGGTGCTGGCCCCGCTCTTTGCACTCTCACCAGGTGGGAGGTCTGTGTCTGTCTTGCCGTGTTCGTTGGACGGGAAGAGGCTCCGGGGGTAGGAGCCGATGGACACCTCGGGGCATGCCTTGGCGGCATCACCCAGGATGCCGGCGATCGAGCCCTCAGCCATTGACGTGTAGATGATGCGACGATAAAAGCTGACATCTGCACAGATCGACAGAGATGCCATCCATCCAGCCACACATGGACGCGACGTGCGCAATCGTTGGTCAACTATAGTAGGGAAGTTCACTCACTTTTGGCCTTGAAGAGGTCTTGGTTTGCGGTGAGCATCTTGGCAAAGAGGTGTGGCACTCCGGGCAGTATGTGGACATTGCGGACACGCACCAGCGGCACCCACAGCCCCTCGGTGTTGTACACCGTCGAGCCGGCAGGGATGAGCGCCATCCGCTTACGCGCATCATTCAACGGCAGGTGGTCAGGATGCCTGATGTATGCCATCAATACAAGCACACACAGAGGGAAAGTCTCCTCGTGTGTGTGTGTGTGTGTGTGCGCGTGTGTTCATCTGTTCACTTACTTCTGCGCATAAAAGTCCTCCATGGCCGCGAGAGTGGGCTGGTGATATTCCAGCGGCGCGTCAAACGCCTGGCCGATCGCCTCATATGTCATATCGCTGCACAGAAATGGCGACGGCAGAAAACCATCACGTACACCTGCCGTTGGTGTGTCTTGGCTCACTCGTGCGTCGGCCCAATTCCTCCCGACGTGAAGAGGATGTCGTGTGTGTCAGAGAGCCGCTTGACGGCCTCACTGATGACCTCTATCTCGTCGCTGATGACCTCTATCTTGCGAAGCGTCACGCCGCACCGAAACAAGAGCTTCGCCAGCGTGTGGCTGTTGGTGTCCAGCGTCTTTCCCCTTAGTACCTCATCGCCGATAATCAGAGCTGCAATCCACTCGCACATCCATCAGTGCAGTCATGCGTGTCCGTCTGGATGTGGTGTGTGAATGCCCACCAGCAGCTGTTTTCGGCGCCTCAGCCATGCCGATGACGTCCACTGCTGAAGATGCGGTCTTGTGCTGCACTGCGGAGAAGCGACGAGTGAGAGGCAGACCTGCACGTGGCAGCTGCGGGGCGAGTCGGCTGGCGTGGAAGGCGGCAGCGTCGCTCAGAGCAGCGAGGATGCAACACGACCGCACATGCAGTGCGAAGGCACTATTCATCTTTGGAGGTGGGGCAGATCTTGCTCACTCCTGGCCTCCACAGCATCCTGCACCTTTAGCAACAGCAGCGGTTTCAGGAAGCACCCTAAGCTTTGCGACTTTCAAGCTGCTTTTTCGGAGTAAGCAACGATTGGATGATAGAGCGTCGACGACACCTTTCCGTAGCGACGGTAGCCATAAGCGCAGGAGAAAAATCTCCGCAATGCCACTCCTTTCCTGATCATCATCTGTCATGAACGGAGAGGAAACTCCTGAGGACCTCAGCGAGGCTCCCCCTCCCGACAGCAATGGTCACAACGACGAGCAGCAGAACTCGCCGCCAGCGGCCATGGATCAGCCTTCGGACGCAACGAACGAGGAGGAGACCTTTGCTCATCTCAACGAGGCCATAGATGCGGCCGGCCAGCCACCTGGAGATGCCGCAGCTGCAGCTGCTGCAGCTGCCGTATCCGACCACCCCCCTGCGGCCGATCCTGGTCACACCACCGCCCCTGCCATGGAGTCGCCTGCCGCAAGCAGCAATCAGCCCGCCTTCCAGTCGCCCATGACGCCGTCTGCCGCTCCTCTGATGTCTGCCAGCGACCGCAGGCGCATGAAGGAGCTCGAGCAGCTCGTGCACCAGCTAGATTTGGAGAACAGGGGGCTGCAGCACGACATGGCGAGACTGCAGCGCGAAAAGCAGGCGATCCAGACGAGCTGCGAGTCGCTGACGAGGGCGATCGAGATGAAGAACCTGACCATCCAGAGCTATCGCGACCAGACCTACAAGGACGGCAGGCGGGCAGACGCCCAGGTGCAGTGTGGAGGTGATGGTGATGGTGATGAAGATGGTGATGCCGTGGTCGTGGGTGTGGGTGCGGGGCCGATAGCTGGCCATGCCACACCCACTACCATGGTGGGGGAAGAGAGGGTGCGGGAGATGGACGAACGACTCAAGTGAGTGAGATGCAGCCACAGAGCTGTCCGTCATCTGGTGCGTTATATATATGTGTTTGTGTGTTCTGTATGTGTGTTGTGTTCAGCCTCATGCGCGAGGAGTACGAGCAGCGCCGCATAGCTGACGAAGAGGCGTGGACCACCCGGCTGCAAGAGAAGGAAAGCGAAATTAAACGGCTCATGGAACAGATGACAGGTACGAACATCAAAGCCACCCACACCACATCACATCAACGACATCTCTCCTTCCTCCCTCCCCCTCGCCCCTCCATCCCCATATATCCATGCAGGCCGTGAGATCAAGTCGCCCGCCCTGCCTCCCGAGCGCGGCCCCACCCCCTCCCCCCGCCCGTCGGGCAGCATCCGCGAGCGGCTGTCACCCGGCACCGAGAGCGACCGCAGCTTCGGCAGCTGCAAGAGCAGCCCGCCATCGCCGGGCCTGCCACCGCTCCGGCACTCCCCTGGTCGTCAGCCTCGCGACCCGAGGCAGCCCACAACCTTCACCTACACTGAGTTGGTTGAGCGGCTGCGCGAGAAGGACGAGGAGTACGAGCAGCGCATCAAGCGAATGACGCAGGAGACTGAGGAGGAGCTGCAGCACCTAAGGATCATCGCGAAATCGGACCCTGACTCGGTGGGCCAGCCGGCCATAAATACAATGGCTGGTGTTGACGAGGGTATGTGTTTGTTTCTGTGTGCGTGTGATTGATAGGACCGCGGCAAGGCATTCACGTCGTTTGACGAGCTGTATCGTCAGCTCCGGCTGGTCCGTGAGGAGCGGGACAAGGAGAAGCGCGCGCACCGGCAGGTAGCCGACGACATCAAGATCTACCAGAACCGCCTCATGAACCTCAATGCCGAGAAGGAGGCGGCCGGTACTGCCTTGCGTGAGAAATCGGAGGAGGTGTCGCGTCAGTCGCAGGAGCTGGAGAGGCTCAAGGAGCAGCTACACCAGTATCGCATGGGGCTGGGCAGGTGAGGTACATCGATCGCACTGACTGACTCCAGCCAGCATCACATCGCTTTCGTGTCGGCACGTGTGTTGGTGTCTGTGTGCGTCTGTCAGGGGTAGATTCGAGAATTCGTCATCGGAGGGATCGTACGTCATGATCGGCGACGGGGCAATCGACACAGGTGGGTGCCTGAGTGACCAGACCAGACCCCCCACACACAGGCCGCCTCGCCGCCTCTTTCATCATTGTGTTCATCCCATGTGTTGTGTTGATGGCTGTCTGTGTGCAGTGTCTAGTGGTGGTTCGCCCAGCTCGCGAGTGCGTCTGCCGGGCGACTCATCGTGCGGCGAGGAGAGTGAGTTCCTCGAGAGCCAGTTGCTGCGTTACTCGTCGCGTGATGTGGGTGTGGTGGCCGACGACGACTCTTCGCTGACGTCTGTGCTGGACGAGTGGGAGAAGGGCACCACCGACCAGAGGGACCTCATGACGCAGTCACAGAGGCTCTTCAACCTGCTCTCATCCACTTGCTCGTAAGCCAACAGGGAGGGGGGATGGTGCGAGTGTGTGGCTGGACTGTGTGTGGTCGCCTTATTCCTCCTCCCATGTATCGCATCGATCAGGCAAGTGATGGAGACTCTGACTGACATTGAGTCCAAAGTCACGGGGCAGCAGAACCAAAATCAGAAAGCGCAAAGGAAGGGCCTCGTTTCGGTGAGCCAGCTGACAACAGGCACACACACAAGTGTACTGGACTGTGCTGTGCTGTGCCGTGGCTCACCATAAAATCAGGCCATCAAGATGCAGATCTTCTCGTCGGGCAGCAGTTCATCGTCGTCGCCTATCGGTGATTCCCTTCTGGTGGAGATGAGCCAGAAGCTGCAGACCACCATCGCAAACGCCCGCAAGATACTCGTCATAGCACGCACACAGGGGGACGTCTTCGAGAAGCTCTACCAGGTCAGCCAGTGAACTGAGCCAGGGGGCCCGCAGGAATGTACTGAAAGAGGGAGGGCTGATCTGTCTTTGTGTGGGGTGCAGGCGACTGCGTTGAACACGTTTTGCCGGCTGCTGCCCCAAGCCCGCGAGACGATGCTGCGGTGGGCCTTTGGCACTCTCACCCGACAGCTGCTGCTGAGGAAACTCGGCGACCTGCGCGAAAGAGAAGACCTCCTCTGCAGTAAACACCCACCCACCGCACCACCACACATGCCAGCCGCTCCACGTGTCTGTTCTTTCTTCCATCCATCTCTCGTGTGTGTCGTGTCAGAGTCGATTCACGACAAGACTGTGGCCCTCAGCCGCCAGCGCAAGCAGCCCATGCAGGGCCCCCCCAAGATCGACACGGAGCCGTCATCGTCCGAGGGAGGCAGCCCCACCTCCAGCGCCACCAAGGGGGCGGGCTCCGACGGCAAGGCCGACTGGCATCAGGTCGACCCGGGCGCCACGCGGCACACAGAGGGGTTCGTGTCCATCGAGCCGCCCTCATGTGTCCCTGCGCAAGGGCGGCCGCCATCCAAGAAGACGCTGCCGCCCAGGGCCCCGGGTGCGGGTGGTGGTGTGCAGAAGGGAGGGTCGCCCCAGCTGTCGCCCCCGCCGCCCAAGGGCAGGGCCAAGTTGGGCAAGGTCGGCAGAGGCGAGACGTTCCCAAAGGGTGTCATGGATGTCGCACCGAGGGCATTGCTGGAGGCTTTCCGCGAGGTGAGTGAGAATCACATGACATGGATGCCTTTGGGACTGACCGACTGCCTGACCCATTTATGTATTTGTCGCTCCTTCCTTGCAGCGGGTTGCGTCTGTGGTGCCGAAGGTCAAGGGCCTCGAGTCGGTCCTCACGTCAGCATCCGGACCAACCACCACCACAGCGTCGCCAACGAGCGAGTTCGCTGCCCCCGGCACCAGCACCGAGACAGCCGAGAGGATAAGTCAGGCCTTGGCGGCACTGGGCGAGTTGGTCAGGGACCTCGGCGATATGGACAGCCAAGTGGCGAGTGTGTTGGCGTCATCAGTGGCCCCCATCGCACCACAGGGAGAGCCGGAGGCAGGCGCTGCAACGGAAGCGCCGGCACAAGGTTGGGAGAAACGATGCACACGATGCACACGCTGTGCAGCTGAGGTTTCACATTCCGTGTGTCCTGTCTGTCCTGATGATCGATCTCTCCACCTTTCCAGGTCAGGATGTGTCAGCCCCTCTCCTTCCTGCCTCGTCGCCGACAAGACCCCCACCACGCCCTCCCCGTAGGCCCCCTGTGCGTCCCCCTGGCGCCAAACCACCCGGCCCGCCACCCACGCAGTCGTCGTCAGCACCGCCCACAGAGGAGCCACCATCAGCACCGGCTGACGACTCCCACCAAGCAGCCGTCGCTGCACCTGCGCCCCCCTCGCTGCCTCTCCCTTTCCGTGCTCCCGTGCGACCACCCAACGCTCGGCCACCGGGCCCATGTCCATCGAGGCCGCCACCATCACCCCCCACACAAGACACAACAACATCGGGCCCGGTGCGCCCTCCCGGCCCACCTCCCGCCACAGTCAGGCCTGCGAGGCCACCCGGTGCACGACCCCCTGGACCGCCGCCAGTGGGGACACCGACGGCTGCCGATGAGGTGGACGTGTCGGAGGGCATTGTGGTGCCAAAAATGCGGCCACCGATGAGGCCACCGGGTGCAAGACCTCCCGGGCCACCGCCCAAGAGGCCGCCGCTAGCTGCTAGTGATTCGGCGTCAGAGGTCGTTCCGTCAGCGACCGCCCCAGCGCCAGCTCCCCCTCTTCCCTGCCGGCCACCTGGAGCAAAGCCTCCGGGACCACCTCCCACGGCCACCACCGCACAGGTGCCGCCAATGCCATCAAGACCGCCTGGCTCCCGTCCCCCTGGCCCCCCTCCGAGCCGGCCACCGATGGTCGAGGTGCCCTTACCACAAGATGCGTCTGCACCAACGTCACTGCCGCCGCAGGCAGGGGGTGGCGAGGCGTTGCCACCCAAGAGGCCTCCTGGTGCGAGACCGCCCGGCCGTCCGCCAGGCTCAGCTCCGCCAGCTGCGAGGCCGCCAGGGGCTGCTCCACCCGGGAGGCCGCCAGGCGCGGCACCGCCACGCCCACCTCCCATGGTCAGGGCCAAGGCACCGGCAGCTGCGGCAGAGTCTGACGGAGAGGTGCCATCGGGGGCAAGGGAGACCACCCCTGTGAGCACCCCGGCAGCGTCGCCAGCGAGGCCCCCTCCGCCAATGGGCAAGCGTCTGCCTAAGAAGGGTCCGCCGATCAGCAAGGGCAAGGCGCCAGGAAAGTTCGGCAAGTTCGGTGGCGCACCATCAGTGGAGTTGCCGCCCGTAGACTTCGGCCCCGCCCCGCCGCCCGGCAAGACGGGCAAGCGCGTGCAGTGGCAGGCCGTTTCGGATAACAAGGTGGGTGCACACCAACGGACAGACTGACAGGTGAGCACTGAGAGTCTGTGTGTCTTGTGTTGTCTTGTGTTGTGTTGTGCAGACGCTAGGGACGTTGTGGGAGACTCTGTTGGTGGACGAGGCCAAGCTGCCGCCGGCGTTCGAAGTGGTCAAGGAGGTCGACGAGGGTCACCATGATGCTGAGGAGGAGCCGCCGGTGGCCAGCAGGTCGCCCAGCCACGCCAAGTCGACGCCGTCCAAGGGGCCCAGACCCGTCAAACCGGCCAAACTCACCATTAACTATAGCGTGAGTGTAGAGGCAGGGACACACAGAGAGACACAGTGGGAGTCCATCGTACACACCGTCTGTGTGTGTTGGTTCCTTCGTTCAGTCGTTCACGGAGCTTTTCTTTTCAGACAAGGCAGAAGAGGAGGCCAAGGCGAAGAGCGCACTCACGCCGGGCAACAAACGCAAAGCGGTAAGTAAGTCGGTGTGTGTCGACACAGCCAACCAACCAACAAACCACACATCCATCACTCCACTCTGCATGTGTGTGTGAAGGTGACGAACATCCTCGACACAAAGCGATCGTCCAACCTGGAGATTATGCTCAACGGTCTTGGCATCAAGTCGGTTGAGCCCGTGCGGACGTGTGTCATGGAGCTGGACCTCTCGAGCTTCCCTCTCGACAACCTGAGGGCACTCATGGACGTCTACCCAACCGACGAAGAGAAGAAACAGCTCGACGCCTTCCTCCCCGGACCTGACACACCGCCACTCGCCAAGGTGACTGAGAAGTGACAACGGGGAGGGATCTCACGGGCAGCAGAGGTCATGGTGTTGTATGGGTGTGGGTGTGCATGTCAGGGTGAGGCATTCCTGAAGGACCTGCTGACAATCGACCGGTTCAAGCAGCGGGCGCAGTGCTGCATCTGGTGAGAGAGCGAGGCAGGCAGGGAGGGTTTTCCGTGTTTGTGCCATTGTGTGTTGGTCGGTCAGTCGTGGGACGTTCAAGGACGAGCGTCAGGGTCTGGAGGAGAAGTTCGCCTGCGTCACCGATGCCATCAGCCGCATCAAGAGATCCACTGCCCTCCGGATGGTCCTCGGCGTGGTGCTGCGGGCCGGCAACTACCTCAACCACGGAACCAACAGAGGTAGGTAAAGGCCCACCTGCCCAGCCCCAACACACGCTGATGGTGCACCGAGCAATGTGCTCTGTGTGTGTGGATGTGTGTAGGTGGTGTGCGTGGCTTTTCGCTGGACGCCCTGGGCTTGCTGAGCAAGATCCAGTCCGTGGACAGGTCGACGTCGATGCTGCGGTTCATCGCCGCGCTGATCGACGAGCAGTATCCCGCCGCGTGGGCCATCCTCGACGACCTCCAGCCATGTGTAGACGCGTCTAAGGTGAGGGAGGGGCGGCCTGGGGAGTGGGAGCACTCCTCACACGTGCGAGTGCGTGTGTGTGTGCAGGTGGAGATAGAGGAGGAGAAGAAACGGCTCAAGGCGCTGGATGGGTCGGTGCGGACGGTCAAGACGGAGATCGACGCTCACAACTACGAGCCCAAATTTAAGGACGCCATGGAAACCTTCATTAAGGCGAGGGAGTCTCAGCAGACTCTCAGCACACACATGCACACACAAGTCTGTGTCCTGTGTGGTGTGTGCAGGATGCGGACCATGATCTGTTGAAGCTCAAAGCCCGTCTGGAGGAGCTCGAAGCGCTTTGCAAAGAGCTGCCGCCGCTCTTCGCCGAACGAAGAACGGTGGGCAAACAAAACACACGAGACTGCAGCCTCCCACTATCCGTGATCATGACCCTCTGTGTGTGTGTGTGTGTGTGTATTGTTTGGTTCTGCCGTCCGTCAGCCGGCCGTCGACATTTTGGCCAAGTTCGGCGCCTTCCGCGATGAGCTCAACAAGGCCCGCAAGGAGAACATCTATGCGAAGGTCAGTCAGTCAGTCAGTGGCACTCTCCCCTCCCACCACACTGCCCAGCCGATGCAGCACTTGTGTGTACTGATCACTCTGGCACCCCTCCCCTGTGCAGGTCCGTAAGGAGCAGCGCGAGAAGGCCGAGCGCGAGCGAGCCGAGCGACTGGCCCGCCGCCACTCCAGCGGCCCCCACAACCACCACCACCACAAGAAGGACCGGTCGGACAGAGACAAGGAGTCATCATGCCAGGAGTCGCCCGAGGCGTCTCCCCCGTCCAACGACAGCCACCCGGGGCTCGAGGACCGACCCGACGGCCTCTCGTCGCCATTCGCCAGGCTGGGCGTGGAGGGCACCCCCAAGCACCCCAAGGCGGTCGACACGTCCAAGCCTAGCAAGATGGTCTCATTCGACGAAGCCGAGGAGCGACACGGCAATGACGGCGACAGCGGTGCAGTGGAAGAGGTCATCAAGGCGGGCGAGGCTGAGCGAGTGTCGCCCAAGCTGCCGCCAACAGCAGCTGCTCGTGTGTCGGCCCCACCAGAGCCGCCCAGACGTCCCAAAGCGCCACCGAAGGCGCCCCCCAAAGTGACCATTGCTGTCAAGCCTCCAGCCAATGGCAAGAAGGGGCTGGCCGACGACAGCAAGCAGGAGGCGAGACCACAAACCGACAGAGGTGGCGCTGAGCAGCCAGCGAGACACGGAGAGAACCCCAGAGAGACGCACTCGGACGGGGATGACCTCCCTGAGTCGCGGCCCCATGCGGCCTCTGCGGACCTGCCTCCCCCCTACCGCCTTCCTCCGCCAGCGTCGCCCACCGAGCGGCGCGAGGGGGGCAAAGGACGGCTGGACTTCCGTCTGGCACGGGTCGAGGGGGCCATGGTCTACAACCCCGCCACGGGTGAGATGGAGCTGGAGCCTGACGGAGATGAGGATGACAGAGACGACGACACCGTCCCGCCAGTGGATAGAACCCATCGCATCCGCCTGCCCATGACCCCCCAGCCACCGCCCCCCGGCCGCGGCAGACCGTTCCGGTCCGGCGGGCTGTCTCCCGTCTCGCCATACCGGTCGATCCATGACGCGCCAGCGGATGGCCGGCCGTCTCTGCGGGCGTCCAACAGGATGCTGGACCACTCGCTGTATCTCTCCCGCCACCGGCACTACCCACAGGGGTCCCCGCCCCTGAGCCTCCACACAAAGACGCTCAACGCTCCTGTGAGAGTGAGGGAGGTGAGGGATGAGGAGAGAGATCGGGCGATGTCGGACCACCCGGCAGCAGTGCCGCTCGTCACTGTCGAGGCGCCGCCACGGCCAGCAGAGGTGGTGGATGGTGTCAGGAGCCCGGCTAGGGGTGATCGGACACTGTCGGACTCGGTGACTGCGGCGGTACCTGTGCCGTGGAAGAATCCCGCCCCTCTGAGAGCGCAGGCCATTGCTCTCAGCGGAAAGGCAGTCAGGCAGGGAGGGCAGGATGGAGAGGGAGAGGGAGAGAGAGGGGAGGGGGAGAGGGCGGCGACAGACAGATGAGGGGTGAGTGACTGAGTGAGGTATCCCCCTCCCTTCGTCCCCAGTTGCCCGCTGCGTATCAGCGCAGCCCTGGTTGCCTCGCCTCGACTCGCCTCGACGATCGTGGTCATTTGTACTCCTCGGACCTTCCTTTTGCTTGCAACCGGGAGGGTTTTGTCTGTCTTGTAGCTCAGCTTTTTTCCAAGCAGCCAGCCGTTGCCAATGCAATGCCACGGCATTCATTTGTGCCCATTGGTGGAAGCAGCGTGTTTGTGTCCGTCCGCCTCTACACTATACGCAGTTACTGCGGGTGGCGACCGACCGCCTGACAATTTGCTGTGTGTGTGGATGGGGGACGAGACGATGTGTGTACTTTTACGCTGCCTGCTTGCCTGCCTGCATCCCTGCCGATCTCTTGGTGTGTCTGTCTGTCTTGTATACTCATCGGTTGGTGTTATTGCTATTTATTTCCATGGATGCAGAATATATTGGTATGATTGGTATGTGTGGTCTGTGTACCAGGGCAAGAGGGGAGGGCAGGGCAGGGAGGCGCGTTCGCCATGCAGCCGCCCATGATCGACCCTGCAGGGACCCTGTGACCATGCAGTGACTGATTGATGCACACCCTATAATGTGTGGTCATCCATGTCTGTCTTTGTTCCCACCCACCCCACCGCGGCGAACGGAATAAACACATCAACACTCTGCTCATCCCCCGCTGCTGCTATCCCTCTCCCGTCGAGCCCTCGTGTGTCCGTGCCCTCTTGACATCACCCCTGTCTTTGTCTCTGTCACCATCTGACACTGGCTCGTCCTTCCCAGTCCCCTTTCCACCCCCACCATCCTCCATGCGCTCATCCCCACCATCCACAGGCATGTCGGCCGTCTTGCCCTGACTTGTCTGCCTCTTTTTCTCTCTCAGTTTCGCCAGGCGCTCGTCATAGCTCGTGCTCGTGGGCCGATCTGTTGGGCCACCAAAGCAACACAACCACTAATAGCTGAAGAGTCGCTGACCGAGGCAGTAGGTGAATGTGTGAAGGTTGACTCACCCATGAGAGGTCTGTATCGGGCTGGTGGTCGGTGGGAGGCCGTCTCCATGCCTTGGATGCCGGGAAATGCCGCACAAGAGGCCTCCTGTGGGGGCTGGCCGGTCGGGGCGGATGGGACGCCCGCGAGGCAGCGGCAGACAGCGGCGTTCCGGACATGGTTGACATACATATCCTACAGCAGCAAGGAAGGAAAACACACATACACACACACACACACACATACACACGCACGCACACACGGCAGCCGTGAAGGAACGACCCCATGGTTGGTTGTGCCATCCATCTCTCTGTTTTCGTGAGCATGTGCAACCCACCTTACCTTGAATGTGTCGGCAGGCCTCCTGGGCCCCTGTTGGTGTTCACTCGTGTCAAAATGAATGCCTGGCAGGGCAGGAAGAATGCCATGCCGGTGTGTCGCTGGTTGGCCAAGGCAAACGCACTGACACGAGTCCCTCCCGGTCCGCCGGCCGACCTTCGAAGAAGCAATCAAACAGAACAAGGCCCGCAGGGTCAGCCAACTCATACCTGACACACCACACCACAATCGACGCTCATGGAGAAGGTCTTGGTGCAGTCTCACATTTGCTCCTACTGTGGCTTCTGCGGATGCTTGTCGACGTCTAGGAGGTCAGCGATGACGGATGGCTGCTCAAGCCCTCGTCCAACCAGCATCAGGACCGACACCATACACCGAATCTGACAGGTGCATGTACCATGCCAATCAACCGATGGCTTGCGTGTTGGCCTGCTGCCTACCTGATGCCAGAGGAAGGCCGTTCCCGTAAATGTCGCCACGGCCGTGTTGGCATCGCACGGCTCAATCACAATCGATGTGATCCGACGCCTAAGCGGACGAACGGTCGAGGCAGGCCGGGGACTATCCACTGCCTGTCTGCCGGTGTGCAAACAGGTGTTGTGTTGCTCACGTGAAGTGCTGCACGTTTTCATCGAGCTTGCAGAAGTTGCGGAAGTCATGCTCGCCGACCTGCAAAGTCAGCCAGGGGATGGCCATGCAGAGAGGGCTGCCCCATGTGCAGCTAGCTGGTCTTTCGTTCGTATGCTGACTGTGTGGACTTACGAAGTGCTGCGCTGCCTGGTTCATGAGGGCGAGGTCCATGCCAAAAGGGACGAAGAAATACTTGTAGACACGCCGCAGACAGTTGAACCTGACACACACATACAGACAGACAGAGAGAGAGACAGACAGACAGAGAGGGAGGGAGGGACGGAGGGAGGGAGAGGGGACACTCCACTCATTCACTGATCGAGCAGTCCATGCATGAGTATCAATCACCTTGCGTCAAAGTCGTCAGGCACTGGCTTGAATGCCAGCACGCGGATGTCGGGGGGCAGCACACCATTGATGACCTGCGCGTAGTTGTAGTGGTCTGAACCAGCCGATACAGCACATGCAGCACAGCACGATGTCAACTGCCACGCGGCCGGCCATTGTGTGTGCATGTCTGCGAACCGTCAGGGTGTGCCGGCTTCGGCCTCGAGTGTGTGACAAAAACAAAGGCACGATTAGAGAGATGCAGCAGCCTGCCTGCCTCGATGCTCCTCTTTTTGGGTACTTGGTTCTGAGGAAGAGTGCCACATAGTTGCCGCTGCTATGGACGCCCTTATCTGTCCGACCGCACCGAGAGAAACCACTGCACGTCCAATACACACACATCCAATCCCACACGCAGAAGGTCCCGGCATTGATTGCAATGAATGAGTCGATATCTCTCACCAGCTCTGGACGTCCTTGATGAGTTTAGTCTTGAGGAATGCCTTCATCAGCTCCCCTTCAACTGTCGGCACGTTCTCCGCAGCCGACACTGCCTCGCTGGATGAGGGAGCCGACGATGACGGCAGCTGATGGGCCAGGCCCTGCATGCCACACTCAGAGAGAGACCACAATGTAGATGTGAGGCGAGCACAGGGAATGGATTGATGCATCTCTGTGTGGGTTGTGCCGGTGAGTGACTGACTGACGGCATAGTTGGTCCCGATGTAGGAGATCTTGAGCAGGAACTTCTTGAATGTGGCAGTGGACCAGTCAAACTCCTTCTCCTCGCCCTTCCCCTTCCGCATCAGATTCCCTTCGGATTGCGCGCTGCGCGTCTGCGAGCTAAACCACAGGAGAAAAAAAGGTGAGCAGGGTCAGCGCGTCCGATTGTCCGCATCTGCCTCGCAAAACGGTATTTGGAAGACGCAATTCGAAGGGCCCCATGAGTACGAATGTGTTCGCGTGTCTGTCTCCGTCTCAGGACACTGCAAGAGACTCTGTCAGAAGAGCCCTCACTACCTTGTCGAGAAAGTAATGGCGCATCGCAGCTCTGGTGGCTCCTGTTGGCTTGTCCCGCCACGTAAGATCTTGCTCATGTCTTCGACGAATTCCTCCCCGTGTGCGTCTGCTCAGGTGTGATTGGCGGGGTGCGGCGATCCAGCCAGCCGCGCACGGAGGACAGCTTCGCACAGAGGGACACTGCTATGAGTGTGAGCGTCCGCTCCGCGGATGCAGGGACTTTCCCGACGCTGATTGACAAGGCTGAGGAGGCACCGAGTGTGTCTCTGAGGACCCCCGACAACATCTCTGCCGTAGGGGAATCGCACCCAATGCCCAAAAGAATGTCTGCCCGAGCCAGGTTCGAGCGATGAAGGATACAGAGAGATAGCACACGAATGACGGCTGCTTGTTCCTGTCAGAGTGACCACCAACGTCACTTTGCACCACCCTGCCGAATCGCACACCGCCCAACCGTCGCAGGAAGGCCCTCTCCCCCCTCTGGCGATGCTGGACGTGGTGGCCCATCTCTCCGTCCACGAAAGCGAGCGGTCCACCTGCCTGCGGAAAGGCTGTTCAGGGCCTCCCAGCGCGATCACCAGCCGCATCGAGCAGCGGCGCATGAGGCAGGAGACCAAGCTGCCACCGAGGAGCCCCTGTTTGTATGACGTCGAGGAATATGTCCGTGGGGAGGAGGGGAAGAGACAGGAGAAGGTCTTCCTGACCTTCAGGGATCCCGAGGTCAGGCAATGCTCGTCACTGGTGCCGGCTGAGACTCAGAGTCGGTCGGTGCGGAGGGCAGAAAGGGTCGTTGGAAGGAAGGATGAGAGGTCACATTACGTCCGGGAGGGGCGAGAGATGCCAGAAATGCTTCCAGCCAGCAGAATGGCAGTAATTCCGCTGCAGGTGATTCAGAGAACAGTAACAAACTCTTTGTCTTCCTGTGGCCGTATATACAATGTCCTTTCTTGTTTGTTCAGGGAGACAAGTCAGGCTCGAGCCAACGTCGCAAAGACCCTTCGTCAACGCCTCTTCGTCCCGCGTTCCCCCGAGACATGGAGTTGCTGCCCCCCGGCACCATAATAGAAGTCACCGCAGCGCCACAACATCGCGCGTCTCTGCCTTCCCCTCTCGTCAGGGGCCCTCCCTCCGACGAAAGCGCCTCGCCATCGAGCACACAGGCCAGTCTCTCTGGTGGCTTGCTCAGCCCGCTATCGCTGCACTACGTTGAAAGAAGACCCATCGAGCCATTCGGCTCGCCGATGTCTCATGGGGGGAGACAGCGAAGCCCCTCCCTGCCGCCGATCCTTGAGCGGCCAGACGAGACAGTCGAGGAGCCACGCGCCTTGTCACCGCCCCCTGCTGTCCATCCGAGAAGAGACACCTCACCGATAGTCCCACATGTGGAAGCGAGCAGCCCTGTGAGGATGGTGCCGCCGTCGGCCGCCCTGAATGTGCCTGGGGGATCGTGGGCGAGTGAGCGGACACCGTCATTCGAGAGCGCACAGGGAGGGGAGGAGGCAGAAATGTGCCCTGAGGCAGCAGAAGCAGATGCGGTGGGTGCTACGGAAGATGATGAGTGGGAGGATGAGGAGGTGATTGTTGAAGGGGAAGAAGGTGGGACTGCGTGAGTGATCATATATGGCTTGTGGATGTGTTGCATGGCATGGGGGAGGGGATAGTGAGGGATTTAAACTAGAGATAGAGATCTGATTGCGCAGCGACCCAAGACGGCTCGATTCCATTTTGTCCAACAGTCATCCAGCCAGTGTTCTTCCCGCCCCTCGCCCCATCCTGTCATGCAGCCCATCTCAATTGTCTGGCAATCTATCTATCTCTCTGCACACAACACGCAATCGATGCCCATGCAAGGCACACACACACACACGATCACACGAGCCTCTCCCACCCAATCCAATCCAATCCCCCATCCACTCCCCCATTTCCCTTCATGCCTTCCTCGTCTGTGCAAAACCACTATGAGACCCACGCACCATGCAGCGCAGCGCAGCGCAGCGCAGCAAAGCAAAGCAGCCCAGCCCCCCATATCACTGGGCGGGCGAAAAATCACTCGCACAGCTCATACCCCATCCGGTGTCGAGGAGAAAAATACAACCAACAGCCCTCGCTTCTTCAAAACACTTAGACACCCACACATCCATCCATCCAGGCAAGCAGGCAGGCAGGCAGGCAGGGACAAGACCGAGAACTCCCATGCGCGCGCTAGCAGGTAACCAGTCACGCCAAATTAGGCGTAGGAAACACTGGCAGACAGACAGACAGCCAGACACACCAGGCCAAGGTCGGCAGCCAGACTCACCCGCAGCCAGGCGTATCTGTAGCTATGGGGGATATATAGAGAGCTGTAAATGAACGCCACCGTGTTTGAGGCCGTCGGCTGTGTGTGTCCGATCTAGCAGCCGACGAACCCCTTGGTCTGCAGCTCCTGCCACGTCACCTCGTGAGATGCCATCTGCAGTGTGCAAACGAATCAACGAACCAGACACACAATCCGTGTCTTCCTCCTTCCCCTTCTCTCTCTCTCTCTCGCCCGCTCCCTTCCTCCCTCACTCTACTCACCTCTGTGTGGAACTTGGGCGTCACGTGGTGCAGGTCAGGCTCCGTGCTCATCGATGACGGCACGCTGCCGTACGAGGCCGTGCTCTGCTTGTTGAGCACCGAGCTGGGCTGTGGAGCCACCGACGCAGAGGTCGGCACCGCACGGCACACAGTCGTCTTGATGCTGCAACGAGCAGGAAGGCAGGCAGACAGCACATTGATTGTCATACGCTTCCTGTCTGTCCTTTTGTGGTCGTTCTTTGCCCACCACACCTGTATTCAAACAAGCGTGTGTTGCTGACGGCGCCCGCCCCCTTCTTGAACAGGAAACGGGACAGGGCGCCCGGGAACATCCCCTGCTGCAGGGCCATCTTGAGAACCATCCGAGACGGTCGCTTCGCAGGAAACGATAAAAAAATGACGAAGGGCACACGCCTGACGGACACCGGGTCACGCCTTTGAATGCCTTTTCCCTTTCCTTCCTCTCCTCCTCCAACTGCGAGCTCAAAATGTACGAAGGTCGACGTCAGGGAGGAGTTCGTTTGTGGAGTTTGTGGCATCGCATCGCTGCAGCCAGCGATGCCCAAGAAGAACCTTGTAGGCTACGACATCGACTCGGAAGACGAGGAGGAACACGAGCAGGCAGATGAGCCACGTGACGCCGTCCAGCAGCCTGATGCTCAGCCAGACGGCGTGGCGGCTGCCGACGTGATTGCGGATGATGCCAAGGGGGGGAGCGACAGGAGTGCATCGAGGGAGGCGGCTGTGTCGTCGACGACGAGTTTCGCAGGTGTGGATGCGGCCTCTCCCGGCGGACAGGGTGGGGAGGGAGAGGGCGGGATGGACGTGGAGGACGCTCTGAAGACTGCGGCAAACGGCGAGCTCGATGAGGTGGGGAAGAGCTGACGTGAGAAAGGGACAGTGAATGAACACATTCATTGCGGGACTCATGTCGTTCGTTCGTTCGTTCGTGTGCGTGATTGATCTCCCCATCAGTTGTCGGACCTTCCTCCCCTGCCAGCAGAGCCAGGTGTGCGACCATCGGACGAGTTTCTGGTGAGCAGATTTGACGCCGACCGACCAGGAATGAGCCCACCTTCTGTGTGTGTGTGTTGCATGCCATGTGTTGCACTCACTGCAGGATTGCATGAGGAATCTTCATGGTTACAAGGAGCGGGGCATCACCATCAACCAAAAGATGCGGGAGAACATACAGCTCAAGAACCCATATATACTGCAGGTAAGGTACCACAATACACCGAGGCAGCCCAGCCAGCCGAGCCATCCGGCCACCACATGTGCTGTGCGTGAGAAGCATTCATTGCACCGACGGCCTTCCGCCTTGTCTTGTGCAGGGCATTATGGAGAAGTTTCAGATAGAGGACCCCGACGTGTCCAACTACCCCACACACCTATACGACCCCAAGACGTTCGCACAGCCATCGGAGTACTTTGAAGAACTGGGTGGGTTAGCGCACCAGAACACAATCCCAGACCGATCAGACAGACAGGCAACCCTCATCACATCACCATTTCTGTCTTGTGCTTGCCGTCAGTCAAGGCGCAGAATGAGCTGCTGATGAACCCCCGGAAGAGCCCCAGTGGGTCGCCTCAGCAGCCCAACGGCGGAGTGCCCCCCGCGATGCCAACGCCCCAAGGTATGCGTCCGTCATTCACACGCACACGCGTAGAGGGGGAGGGGGGCCGCGTGGGTGATGGATCCGAACCATGGGGGCGGTGCGTGGGGGCGGTGCGTAAGGGTGCGATTCGTTCGTGCGTTAGTGCGTTCACACATAGAGCTGCCCGTCTGGGGCAGAAGGAGGAGGGAGGGAGGCATGGTAGCTGTCCATCGGTTCTGCCTGCCTGCCTGTTGTCTGCCTGCTCCTTCCTATCTCATTCTTCGCGAGTATCCCTTCCTGAGCTCACTGGTTGTGTGTGGGATGTGTATTCATTCAGGCGTCCTCGTCATGGCGTGAGGGACAGGAAGTGTGGTGTGGGAGACAGCGACTCAGTCAGCTAGCCAGCCAGCCAGTGGAGGCGAGATGTCGGAGGAGGGAGGATGGAGGAACCGATGGCCACGCCCGCCCGGCAGCTGACTGCAAGCCGACCGACCGACCGACCGAGCAGCAATCGAGGGCAGCTCATCGATCAACCCCCTTGGGTGGGTGCTGACTGGAAAGGTGGAGAGATTGCACGAGGGGCCCGCTCTCTTGTCGCTCATTGTGTTGTTGACTCTCCCAGCGATGGACCTCTCGTGGCTGACAGCATCGCGTCTAAACGACCAGCCAACCAGTCGGCAAGCGCGCGGGCTCACTCTCGGGCCTTGCTTGTGGCGCAGTGCCCCCTGTTGGGACTCCTCTCTGAGGTCATCGTCATCCAGCCGGCCAGAGCCAGCCAGCCAGCAGTCCATCGGTTCCTCGGTCCTTCCTCCTCCGTCGTCTCCCTCGATTTTTTCGGCTGGGCTGCTGCCTGTCTATGTGCCTGTGCGATGACATGCTTCCAATGATGAATGGCAATGGGGCTGATGTATGCGATGCATGGCGCTCGTCCCAGCGGTTGGGTTGGCAGGTGCACTCATCGTCTTTTTCGGGTGGGGTGTTTGTGTGTGTCCAGGTGTGATGGGTGTCGGTGTGCCCATGACGATGCCGCCGCCTCAGGGACCATTGCTGCAGCCTGGGCCAGGTCAGAAATGCGACAAGGAGAGATTGCGGGGTGTGTGGAGTATCTGTTGGCGGATGTGTGCGTGTCATCAGGTCGTTTTGGAGGCCCATCGAAGTGGGATGTGCAGCCGGGTGCTGAGGCACCCCCTCCCCCACCCCCTCCCCCTCCCCCAGTGGTGCCCCGAATCATACCGCTCCAGCAGCCACCAGATGCAGCAGCAGGTATGCAACGACACATCCCCGAGTGAATCCATCCCTGCACCATTCTTATGTCGTATCCGTCAGGCAAGGCCCACCTGGTTGCAGCAGCCATGGAGTCGGTCCAGTCCCGTCTGAGCGGCATGGGCGTTACACAACCGTCGGCAACGTCAGCATCATCAACCTCATCCCTCCCCGATCCCCCACCGGCCAGCGCTGCTGCCCCAAGTGCGGCCATCGATGAAGCTGCTGCAGTCAAGGTGGGGTCCTCGGGCGGCTCCACCGCCCCCACGCCCAACGGCGCACCTGCTGCAGCGGCACAGCCACAGGTAGGACTTACAAAACAACCACAGGACGAATCAATCGACCAGACTATGACTGCACTCTTTCTCGTGTTCAGGGTGAGACCCCTGCGGAGAGAAGGAGGAGCCGTTGGGACCAGGCTGGCGACCGCCACTCGTCCCGTTCGCGGCATCGTTCGAGGTCACGGTCAAGGTCAGGCGAGTCCCGCGACCGCCGCCGGAGGGACAGGGAGAGGGAGAGTGACAGGGACCGCGACCATGACCGTCGGCGGCGCGAGCGACGGGGGGAGAGGGAGAGAGACCGGGAAAGGGACAGAGACAGAGATCGAGGGCGGGACCGCAGCAGCCGCTCCCCAGACAGGCGCACACGTGGCAGATGATGTGAGTGAAGGGATCCGGAGGGAGAGGCTTTTTCATGCGTATGTCGAGGAAGCGAGTGTGTGACTCACTTCATTCCTGATCATCTTTCGTTGTTGTTTCCTTTAGTGTTTGCGCTCGTGTCGTCTTGGCGGTCCATCAGCTAGTCACACACACACACATGTGCACCAATACAGCAGCGGCCAGACAGACAGGCAGGCAGACAGACAGACATACAACGATGGGTGGGATTACAAAAGTCTTACATCATCATTCGCAGCAAGCACAGATGGGCGGGGCCGTCAGATGGATGTCACTTGGAAAAACTCCTGCCGGAAGCAGCGCCGCATTGACTAATGCACAATACCGTGTGAAGAACAACACCCTCACCCGGACACATCCACCGCGCGCACACACTCCCAGCACCCACCAAGCACCATGAAGCAGCCGTGTGAACCATGCGCCCTCACAAAAAGTGACACTGACATGCAGCCTCAACAAATGGTGGTGGATGAATGGATGGATGGTTGATGGAATGAATGGTGGGTTCAGAAAAAGGACAGCAAGTTAGGCAGGCAGGCTCAGCTGTGTCAGATGCTGAGCGCCTTCTGGAGCTCAAAGAAGGCGAGTTTCTTCTTCCACCCGCGGCCGATGAGTGTGGGGTGGTCCTCGCCCTTGAACTGCGTGTTGAGCCAGTTGGTGGGGTCGTATGTACCCCACACTGTGAAGCTGCACACGCATACATGGAGGGGTGTCTCTGTGTCTCTCTGGGGGGCTGTTGGCTTCTTGTGCCTTGGGGCATGTTCTTACGAAGTGCAGTTGGGCTCCTCCAGGCAGATTCGCATGATGGTGGCGAACACCTGGGACTGCATCAAGAAGGGGGAAGGAGGGACACATCGAAACGACACACATATAAGGTTCGCCAAGAATTGCGTGGCGTCTCTCCGGCTGGTTTGTGGGCGCACCTGTATGTAATCCTTTTCGAAGTCGAAATTCTGGCCGCACGGCTTGTACCCCTGGCCGGGCACCCACTTGCCGCAACCCACGTCCATCTCAGTGATGGCAATCTCCTGCACACAACACAACACACAGCCCAACGCGTCTCTTTGCTCCCTTCGTCAGTGCTGTCTCATTATTATTACCAGTCCCAATGAGCCGATCTTGCGCATCTGCGCTCTGGCGGCGTCGAATTTGTCCCAGGCGATGTCGATGTGTGTCTGACAGCCGATGACATCGATGGTGGGTCTGCCCTTGTACATGCCCATGGGGTGCTTCATGAGCCACTTGGCCATAGCGTACACCGCCCGGCCCTTGCCGCCATCCTCGTGCAGGATGCCGTAGTCGTTGTAGACATTGATGATGGGCTTCTTAAGGGAATCGGCCACCTGCCGGGCCTTGGCGAACAGACGGGGCATCCAGTTGGGGATGTTAACCATCCATGTGCCCTTGCGCTCGATCCATGTGGTGCCGTCGGACACCTGCCCGTCCTCCAAGGCTGCTCGAGACACGCACAGACAGAAACGGGCCTTCCTTGCCTGATTTGAGTGTCTCGGGGTTCTCCGTTGTACCCTCGTTGGCAAGGTCAAAGTGGTATGCGGCCTTGCGTGGAAGATAGCGCTTGATGTACTGCTCGGTGAACTTGAAGAGCCACTCGTCCTTCTCCTTGGGGTTCTTGCCTCTGCGATTTGGTGTGTACACAGATCAAGATTAAGATCAAGATCGAGATGTAGACGCATTGACCTCCCAGACATACAACATACCTGATGACCATCGGCTCATCCCGGTACCATGCGACGGCGTGCAGCTTGAAGAGCTGGTCATTCTTCTCGGCTTCGTCCATGAGGTAGTCGCACGGCCGCCAGTTGTACCGCAGCAGCGACCCCGGCTTGCACTCCGACTTGGCCACGGTGACGGTGTATTGCTCCTTGATGATGTCCATGAGCTCCTTCTGCCGACGCAGCCAGTACGAGATGGCCGTGCCGATCTTCAGCTGACGCTTCTCAGCCAGGAAACGAAGCGTGTCTGAGGGACAAAAGCAACACAATGGTCTGGGTCGATTGCTGCGGTCTGGGTCGTTCGTTACCTTTGCCGCTGCCCTTTGCAGGTGTGAAGAGCTGCGCTCTCTTTGGGACGACGGCGCATTTGCCGAGGCCACACCAAGGCTCCCATGTCATCTGGCGTTCTGTGATCATCAGGCCGGCAGAGACAGCGGCGAGTGCGCTACAGGAATGACCTCATTTGGCCTGTGTCTCGCTCACCAAGGAACTTGCAAGGCGCGTGTCCGTCTTGCTCGCAGATGTTGTTCCTGGTCATGCCGTATCTGTGTCCCGCCCAGATCTTGAAGCTGCAACACTCGGGGTTGTCGTTGGCGCCACACTTGTTGCACTGGTCGGGGCACTCCATGGGGCAGCATATTCCAGTCTTGTAGTCGACATACTTGCCGCGCACATGCCTCTGGCAGAAGTGGACCTTGTTGGCCGGCGGATTGGGGTCTGACGAACCCATCCCCACACATACGGGCGTGACGAGTCTGTTTGAATGCTGCTGCAAGCATTCTCACCAGGGTAGTTGCAGTTTTTGGGGCCAGCGATGAGAGAATGGAGGGACTGCTGCGGGTTGCTCTGGAGCTTGGACTGTCTACCGACCAGGCGGCAGGGCTCCTTCTCGGTGATGTCGCTGGTCCAGTACCAGAAGTAGCACTCGACGTCGTTGAAGCACGTAAGCGCACACTCGGCGGGCGTCGTTATGTACGAGAGACGGAGAAACTCGCCCGCTTGCTCGTAGAAGCTGTCCCTCTTGGCGCACCGAGCCATGTCCTTCTCTGCATGACCCATCAATCAAACCAGACACACGAGACATGGCACTCACAGCATCTGAACTCATGTCTCTTTCTGTGGACTTGCCTCCCATGCAGATGGCGGGGGCCCATGTGAGCCTGCTGTTCTTGGATGGCGTCTCCTTGCCCTTGTCGCCCTTGAGGAAACAGTTGACGCCGCCCTTCTTCATGCCGCCGTCGTATTGGAAGAACTGGCACTGTCGGTGCCGCATGCAGATGCCGAGGCACTCCTCTAGGGATCCGGCCCGCACTTCGCCCTTCCCGTACTTGGTCTGCGGGAGGTTCTTGCCGGACAGGGCCCTGCCCGTCTTCAGACAAGCTGATGGAAGAGAGACAAGGAAAATGAACGTGTGTCTCTGTCTCTCTCTCCGTCCATTCCACTTGCTTACCGAAGTCGGGGCACTTGGGTGATCCAGAGACCGACGGTCCCATGGAGTTGTATTCTCGTTTGCTAGAGTCGATGATCTCTGCTCCTTGGTCGTCATTGTAGAGCTCGCAAACGGTGGTGCTCTTGTCAGCTTTTTTCTTGAGGCGGTCTGCCTTGGGGCGGCGGTCGAACCAAAACGTAAAGGCCTTGCAGCCGGGGGTGTACAGGCACTCTTCCTGGCAGAGCGTTGCCGACAAAACATGCTTCTCGATCGTCTTGTCCTTCATCAAATTCTTGCCGGGCATTTTCGTAAACGGCGTGTAGCACCCTGCCATGACAATAGAGGGCGACACATATTGATGGGACATACGCAGGGACCGTCAGCATCTGGTCTTTCCGGCTGACCGATCCTGCAGTGTTTGGGCCCGTAGATGAAGCTGCCTGCTGATGGGCTCTGCTGCAGGATGATCTTGTTGCCATTTCCCTTGAAGAGTGTGCACTGCTTGGACTCGAAGTTCCACTTCCAGTGGCGGCATGGGAAGCCGTCCTCGTTGCGCTGGCATCTCGTCTGGCAGCCTGACGCGCTGCCGACGGTGCCTTTGATCACCTTGGCGCAGTCACCAGGACACTTGTAATCGGTGAACATTCTCGCGCAATTGGGGATCGGCTGGACGTAACGAAGAGGAGGAGAGAGCGGAAGAGAGAGAGGGTGGGCATTGCTCCCTTTGTCGTACCTGTGGGACGATGTCAGTGACGATTGTTTTGCCCACATCTTCGCGTGCCTTGATAACACCTCGAGCAAAGGCACCCTGCATGCGCGGAGACATGACAATTGACAGAAGTGCGCTGCTTCCCGGTAAGGCTTTCTTCTCACATCTGCCGCCGTGACTTCGACATGAAAGCTCGGCCGCCAGTACATCTGCGGTGCACTCTTCACCACGTTAATCGACGAACCCTGCAAGCATGCACAGAACAGATGCTATCAGGTCTTGTCTCTGCTGGCAGATGTGTGCGCTTAAACCTACCAGCCAGTTGAGGTTGTCGCCGGTCATTTTCTTTTCCATGAAGGCCCAGTGCCCTTTGCCCTTGTTGGGAAAATCTGGCTTCCGGTACACACGCAGCTGGCTGATGGGGGCATCCTTGCGCAGCATGTTGCTCGCACGAAGCTGAACAAAGAAATCAATATAAGAAAAAGCCGAGAGACGTGTGTCTCTGCCGGCCGGTCCTTACAGCGATCCAGTAGAGAGTGGTTGACCCGAAGACAAACGTGAAGCGTGTGCCGACCGCCTTTTTGCCCGCAGATATCCCGCCTGAGAAAGATTGGAGATGGCGGAGTGGCTCCGTGCTCATGGATGACTCGTCGGTGAGCATGCGAGACTCAATGAGATTTGTCGGCATGTCTTCATCGCCTTCGTACTCCATTGCATGATGCTGCTGGTGGATAAGGGAATACGTGTTGTCCGTCTCATCGTGGGCGACGAGCATCCCGGTGAGGCCTGCATGCATGCAAGGAGACACCGTTGGTATGTTGTCCTGCTTTCTCTTCATTTTGTTGTCTTACCGTGTGTGGTGTGGATGACTTCGTGTTGGTTGATCTCGTGTGCCACGTGCTGCGGCGTGACGTGTGCGTGAGTGAGTCCCATTGCCTCCACGCCCAGCCAGGCACGGTGGATGGCATGCGCCAACAGCACCGTGCTCATGTACGCCGACACGCCCACCGATCCGCACTCATCACCAGAGGCGGCATCGCCCTGCTGCCCCCGAAAAGCCCGGCCGTCTGTATTCGCCTTGGCTCGGCGGGCACTGATGGCTGCCGCAATGGCCTCATGGGCAGGGCCCTCATTCTGTGGCTCAGTCAGGACGATGCGGGGCAGCTGGCGAGTCGCGTTAATGGTGCCGATCTGATCAGCGGCCGGGCTGATGACGGCCAGGGGCGTTGCAATGGGGTCGTTATCGCCGTCCGCCGTGGCACTGCCGCCGTTGATGACCGAATAAGTGAGGTGGAAGGGCCGAAAAAGGGCCACCAGCGGCACCAGGCTGCTGTCACGAGTGGGCCAGCTGACATGCTCAATGGCCGTCAACACGCCGTATTCACCACAGATGTCCGTCGAAGACGATGCATCGCCGCCCAATGATGATGAATGCACGACGCCCACACGGAATGACACCATGCCCTCGGTTGAATCTCCTCCATCAATGTCCGCCCCGACTAGAGCAACAGCAAATAAGACGAGAATGAAGAGGGTGAAGCCACGCATGCCGGACGACATCATGCGGGGCTCAAAAAACATCGGAATCAGCGAGTTTTGGGGGCGGAGGTCTCGAGAAGGGGGCGAGATGCAGATCTCTCAATAGCCACTGGCACGACGTCTCTGGCGCTCGCGGCGCCTGTTTTTCTCCTGAATTTGGATCTCCGTGGCGGCCCACGAGCAGACCGAAGCGAGGATAAGGGTCGCCTCACCCATCATCTCGAGCGTTTGGACCAGGAGAGGGAGGTGCGGGGGTCCGTAGATGATAGCGGCGATTCCGATCTCGAGAAGCATGGTTGAACAGAATCCAAGCCTTCGCACTTGTAGATCCTCAGAGGGACAACTTCGTTTCGCAAATCACTATCACTCTTCTGCTTGTCCCCCAATATGAGCTCGCAATTCTGGGGGCCGGGGAGATCCAAGCCGGCAGCGCTGTCCCATACATAGTCTATCCCCCCTTCTCCGACAGCAGGGTATCCGGGGGTCAATTGTCTAGTTTCGGTCCTGAATCCTGAACAACACAGACACCAACGTGTCCAGCCAAAGCCGGGCTGGTAAAGGTGACTTCCGAGCCTCCCCGTGGCCCGCGGAGCCATCCCCTTCTCTGATTGATCCCATCCAACCATGAACTTTCCCTCTCGCGTCATGATCTTCGCCCTTGTCGTCTCGTTGGTCCGAGCAACGGGTGGATGGTCTTCTGCGGATGGGCTTGAGGGCGTAGCGTCATTCCGTGTGAGCGTCGTGCATTCAACATCATTGGGCGGCGATGCATCGTCTTCGACGGACATCTGTGGTGAATACGGCGTGTTGACGGCCATTGAGCATGTCAGCTGGCCCACTCGTGACAGCAGCCTGGTGCCGCTGGTGGCCCTTTTTCGGCCCTTCCACCTCACTTATTCGGTCATCAACGGCGGCAGTGCCACGGCGGACGGCGATAACGACCCCATTGCAACGCCCCTGGCCGTCATCAGCCCGGCCGCTGATCAGATCGGCACCATCAATGCGACTCGCCAGCTGCCCCGCATCGTCCTGACTGAGCCACAGAATGAGGGCCCTGCCCATGAGGCCATTGCGGCAGCCATCAGTGCCCGCCGAGCCAAGGCGAACACAGACGGCCGGGCTCTTTGGGGGCAGCAGGGCGATGCCGCCTCTGGTGATGAGTGCGGATCGGTGGGCGTGTCGGCGTACATGAGCACGGTGCTGCTGGCGCATGCCATCCACCGTGCCTGGCTGGGCGTGGAGACAATGGGCCTCACACATGCACACGTCACGCCGCAGCACGTGGCACACGAAATCAATCAACACGAACACATCCACGCCACACACGGTAAGACAACAGAGATGGCATATAATGGGCATTTCTGATGAACGAATTGAGCACCTTCTCTTTGCCTGCAGGCCTCATGGGGACGCTCATCGCCCGAGAAGGACAGGAGAATGTCTTTGCTTTCGTCCATAATGGCGCCGCCCCGAAGACCGGTTCCATGGTGTCCCGGATGCTGAGCAGCGAGGAGCCCCTGCGGCAGCTGCAGGGCACGATACAGGGCTCCATCACGACCACCAAGTCAGCCGTCGGCCTGCGGCCGCGATTCATCTTTGATGCCAGCTTCTACTGGATTGCGGTATGAGAAGGGGGCTCACATTTATGAGTGGCTCACTCTTTCTTTCTTTGTGTGTGTGTCTGTGTCTGTGTCTGTGGTGTGTGTGCAGTTTACGGTCACGGGCAACAGACGTCCCATTAATCTGCAGCGGGTGCGGCTCTACCGCAAGTCGGAGAATCCCAACAGATGGAACGAGGGGCACTGGGTAGAGATGGAGAGACAATGGCTGGCAAAGGAAAAAATGACCGTCTTCCTGGTACGCCCATTCGCACACGCACATTCACATACATTTGACCCGTCTACAAACCACTGCTGTCGGCTACGCCGTGCTGTGGCGTGTAGGCTTCTGTGAGTGACGTCAACAAGAACAAGCCCCAGCTCGGCTGGCGGCCCAGCTTCCATACGGAGTTCATCGGTGCAGACGTAAGTGAAGCGAGCGATGTCAGCACCGGCCCCCTCTTGATCCATCCGTTGTGTGCTTGTCTGCATGGGTGTCAGGGCGCCTTCGCACGCGGCATTCTGAAGAGTCGTGACGACACCGGCACCAGCCTCGTCACCGAGATAGCACTGCAGGTCTGCACACAGTACAGGCAAGGCACCACACACAGATCTATTCGGCCTTTTCTCGTTTTGTAGGAGGTGCCCAACTGTGCCGAGATGTTCACCAACTACTTCTGCACCGGCTCCAACGCGCCCAAGGACTGCGTCAAGGCCATCGACAAGGTGGACAGCGCTTCCGACTGCCAGGCCAAGTGTCAGAAGAGGCACCAGAACTTCCCCTGCAAGTTCTTCAAGTACAACTTCGTGGCCAAGAGGTGCACGCTGCTCAAGTCATACACCGGCGTCGGCAAGAACATCGGCACTAACCTCATCTCAGGACCCAAATACTGCCTGCACGGTAGGTAGGAAGAGGAACAATCAGACAGACACAGAAGCATTCAGTCAGCCGTGTTTGTTTGTTTCTCTGCCTGCAGATTGCTACGTGCCAACGACCAAGTTCCCCAACGGCCAGATCCTGGGCAACCAGCACAAGTATACGGGTGTCTTCACGTCTGCGTCGCAGTGCCAGGAGAAGTGCTTCTTCACCAACGGCTGCAAGGGATTCACCTTCTGGTTCGACAGACGGCCCAAGGCGGACCGCCTCAACAAGGCGGTCACCAAGAGCACCACGGCCTGCTGGCTGTACAAGACCGACAAGGGCGCCCTTATCATCGACAAGAGCCACAAGGAGTATGACCAGTTCGGCATGTCCGTCTCGGGCGCAGCTACCTGCCGAGACACAGGCAGGCTGCTCACACCACAAACTGAATACACGGCATCCTTGATGCGTGTGTTGTGGTGTGTGGATGTCTCTCTGTGTGTCAGGTTGTCTGGAGTGGGGCAGGAAGCACACTTTGACGGGCAAGAACCTGCGAACCATCAAGGCTCGGTCTCTGGAGGACTGCCACGACAACTGTGTGCGCGAGAAGCTGTGCACCTGGTTCCAGTACGACAACAGCGTGGCCAAGGGCGGCAACAACTGCATCCTCAAGCAGCACAGGGGCGACAAGAAACCCACCTCTAAGAACATCGTATTCGCGCCCGCATGGTGCACTGGAAGTGAGCAGAGCCCCCACATATGGACCGGCAGATGGCATGTACCTGTCAATCTCTCTGTCTCTGTCTGGGTGTGTGTATGTGTGTAGAGAATGACGTGGCTCGTTGTGGCCAGGCAGGCAAGATCTACACGGCGTCGACCAAGATGGACATCCAGCACATCGCCTCACCGATGGACTGCGCCCGTGCGTGCCAGGACGAGGTCGACTGCTACTTCTGGACCTGGTCGGGGCAGCCCACCAAGCAGTTCCCATGCACCCTATTCCCCCGAGTGGTCACCATGAAGAACAGCGCACACCCTGACAAGAAGGAGATTAGCGGCCCCAAGGACTGCGCATTCCCTGGTAAGTGTGACCCTCAACACAGCGAGAGAGGGAGAGAGAGACATGGTCGATCCATCTTTCTTCCTCTGCGTACGTACGTCTGCAGCTGCGACCCCTGAGAACAGCCAGAAGTGGATGTGCGAGAAGCAGTATGGCGGTCTGTTCAGTGCCTACACCAAGGGCCCCGTGTGCTGCCCCGCCAAGTGCGGTGAGAAGTGCAACAAGTGCGGCAACCAGGAGCCCGTCGAGTGCTGCAACTGGAAGGTCTTCAAGATGCAGCACCACGGCGGCAAGCGCAACAACGTCTGCGAGCAGACTGGACAGCCCCCTTGCAAGTTCGAAGGTCAGTGGGTGGAGCAGGCTAGAAAGGAGACACATGGATGGATGGATGGATGGACGGAATCTGCGGTGTGCTGTGCTGCTTGCTTGTCTTGTGCAGGTCGGCAGATGACGTATGCGCCATGGTGCCCTGATGGCAAGTGCAAGACCGTGCTCAAGAGACAGGACGTCTTCATCCCATCAACTGTCAACCCTGCTGGTCAGTCAGCCGCCCTACGCAGACACACACACACACACACACACAAACAAAATGCATGTGTCTCTCTCCCTTTCCTGACCGCATTCAGGGTCTCTCCGCGCGTTGGCCGAGAAGCGTCAGCTGAAGATCGGCACGGCCATCTCGTATTGGCTGCGCGACTACAGCGACTACCTCAACACCATCAAGACCCACTACAGCGTCACCGTGGCCAAGTCCGAGTGCAAGCCGGGCTCCATCCTCCAGTACCAGTGGACCACATGCGACTGGATCATGGACTTCGCCGAGCAGCACGGCATGCTGCACCGCCTGCACGCCATCGCCTGGTACCGCGACCATCCCGGCCCGGTCCGCGGGAAGCCGCCCGCGGAGAAGGAGGCGTGGCTGATGGACTTCACTGACAAGTACGTCAAGAGATACGCCGGGCGCAAGGGTTCGTACCACTTCGATATCGCCAATGAGGGTAGGGTGGGCAGGGGAACAAAAGAAGGCCAGGGAAGGGGACAGAGACACAGACCATGTGTGTCGGATGTCGTGTATCGTGTGTTGTATGTGTGTGGATGGCCATCGATCTCAGCCTTGCAAGATGGGCAGTCATCAGACGGCACGACGTGGATCGAGCGCAAGGGCACGTGGATGGAGGACATCCCCGATTGGCTCCCCAAGGTCTTCCGCCGCGCCAAGATCGCCGCCGACAACATGGGCACGTCCATCAACAACTACTACAACGATTTCTACATCATTTCGGCGGACAGCGGCAAGTCGGGCGCCGTCTACGCCCTGGCCAAGTGGCTGATGAAACACCCGCTCGGCTCATACAAGGGCAAGCCTGTGGTGGACGGCGTCGGCTTCCAGACGCACATCGACGTCACGTTCGAGCTGTACGACGGCGTGCGGCAGCAGATGCGCAGATTGGGGTCACTGGGACTGGTGAGCTGGGGGGGGGAAGGCACACAGAGAGAAGAGCACATTGGTTTGTTGTTGATCTGCCAACGTCTCTCTCTCTCTTTCTCTCTCTGTGTGTGTAGGAGGTGTCCATCACTGAGATGGATGTAGGGTGCGGGCAGTGGGTGTCCGGCCAGGGGTACGTCCCCTGCGGGGAGCAGTGGAACTTCGAAAAGGAATACATACAGGTAATCAACACACAAGCACCCAGATGCCGCTCCCTGCCTTTGATCTCATTCATCCTTTCCTTCGCTTCTGCAGGGGCAGATCTACGGCATGCTATTGCGCATGTGCATCGAGGAGCCCAACTGCACAGCGTAATACATCCACGCAACACACACGCACCACCCACCACACTCACCACAATCATTCTTGGTGGCTGTGTCCTTCCAGGTTTGTGATCTGGGGCACCTATGACCCCTACAGCTGGCTCAACACGCAGTTCCAGGGCGCCGACCACCCCACACCCTTCGCACGGGGGTGGAAGAAGAAGCGCGCCTTCTTCGAGATGGAGAAGGCACTCAAGGCCTGACCTATCCATCCATCCATCCATCCGATAGACCGATTCATCAGTGTCAGTGCAATGCATCCATCGTGTGTGCGCACCCCGACCCGCCAGCCACCCAACCAGGGATGTGTGTGTGAGGGGCGAGGAGTTTGTTGTTGTCATTTTCGATACGTAGATGAGCGCGTACGAATGACCATTGTATTCATAACGCACACCTGCACGCCTCGCACGCACGGTTGTCGTGTCATGATTGTGTTTTTGAGACCCCGTCACTGACAGTCAATCGTCACTTTTTGATACAGAAGTATGGCTGAAGACGAATGGCATAGCGCATGTTGTGGATATCTGTGTGCGTGGATGGCAATTTGTCCCCCCCCGCGAAAGCGTGCGTGGCGCATCTCAAAGCTTTGGAGGATCATACACCATGCGCTCACAGAAATGCCTCTCTCCAGTGGCTGAATTCATTACAGAACGGTTCAAATGGACTTAAGACGAAACACACGCAACAAATAGGGTCACCGCACACACGTCACATTCCATTCAACGATCACTCGGAGTCCCTCATCCGTCCAAGTAATGCAGACACAGCCCCTCAGCCACCCAAGCACCGAATAAGGTCAAGAGAAACTCAAGCGTTTTACTTGCTTCGACAAAGGTAATGACGGCGAGCAGTGCTATGAACGTGGCTCCGGCACTTGTCGTAAACCAAGGCAAAAAAACGTGACAGAGGAAGTGGACTAGAGCCACCAGTGCGGACCCAATCCTCTGCTCTCCAAGAGCGACTTCCCACCCGTGTACCCCATAGAGACACGGATTCCCGTCGGGAATCTCATTCATGGCCAGCATTATGGCGATCGCGATTGCCAGCACCCATGCTACCGCGACAAGACCTTTGTCTGTCAGGTTGACCATTAACGTGCCTATCGTGAGCTCCGAATAGACCATGCCAACCCACACCCCAACAGGGGTCATAGTGATCCACAAGGCCGCAAAGAAGATGATGAGGGCCTCTGACACGCGGGCCTCTGACACGCGTGTTAGGATAAGCACCCAAGCAAAAAAGGCCGCACCGATGGGCGCACCGACAACGAGCGAGCCACAGCCAATCAGCTTGACGCAGCGGTACAACAGCAGCCACGAGAGCTCCAGCCACGGAAAATAGGGGGAACCGGGGGAGGCTAATATGTACAGTAAAGATGAAATGGCGATCGTAAAGAGGCAGTAGACCACCGGACAGCACAGAGCGTCTCTGAACGATAGCCAAAGGGGGTCTCTCATACAAAGTCGGTCCTTGGGTCGCTTCCTGATCATGACGAGTCTCATCAGTCCGTGCCTTCATTGACAGTGGATTCCTTTTTGCTCACCGTCTGCAGTCGGCGCACTGAAAATGTGCTGCAGGTATCGAATATGTGAGGACACAACACATGAGCCGATCGGTGTGAGGATTCCCCACCCCTCACCTGGCAGAAAGTGGGGCGTCACGTGCCGTTTGACGAGCCGTCGGAGGAGAAACCGATGCCGCCAAAGAATGATTAGTGCAAGAAGACACGAAGTCAAGCCGACCCAGCCGAAGGCCGCAAATAGCAGCGCCAGAGTCCTCGACGAGGAACTTGCCACCGCAAAAGCATGTGTAGACTGGATCAAGCCATACCCCATAGACAGCAGCTGACACCCCGCCTGCTGCGTCACGTCATGGTCGCGATGTAGCTCGAGAAGCCGACGGCGCATTCTGAAGTGGTAATGTGCCTTCAGACTGATTGGAAGCACCACCACAGAGCCGAAAACAGACAGGAGAACGGACTCTCCGCTACTCCAGAACGACCAATCGGCGTTGGATGCCATCAGCAGCACAGAAAGTGTGATGAGGGCGAGCAGCAGAAGGATACCCCAACGCAGCTGTCGGCCGCTGGCGCACCGCGGGTGGCGGGCGACTAGACACTCCAACAGATAAGAAATGAAGCATATCACCATTGGGCCGATCGCGAACGTGACAGTGTTGCCGAAGACCCACAGCGCCACAGGTGCCACCACCCATAAGCACAATCTCTGGAAAAGGTCGTCATACAAATAGATCCTCTTCTCGCGTTCGGGAGCACCTCCGAGCAGATACTCGTCGTACTCGCTGATTGATGAACACACCAGTTTCTTGTCAGCGTCAGGTGTGAATTGTGTGCTCTGGGTAGCCTCACCCCTGGCAGATCTCACATCTCGTTGAGGGCTCACCTGTAGACCACACAGCAAAGACCCTAGCAAAGACCACCATGTGCGGCTGCGCCTTGCCTGTCGTCTGCAGCTTCTGTCGTCGGAACGCCTCCATACAGTTAACGTGGACAAAGCCTGCACACGACGAATGGAAAAATCGAGATGAGAAAGGCAAGACGAGTGAGATCCAATTTGGTGAGATCAGGCGTCATCTCACCCATTGTGCCGCGACAGCTGCAGGGCGAGATAAGTAGACCCGTTTCGGTGGACTCCTCTCCATCCCGGGAGATGCGGCACGCATCGTCAAAGCCAGGATACGTCAAACAGCCCACCCAACTCATTCCGCATTTGCGAGCTTAGAGTTCTTTCGGCGAGATTTCGCTTCCTCGCCGGGAGACGGCCAGGAGACGGACGGCGCGGTTTTTTTCCTTAGCGCATTCCTGTTCGTTTCCGCTTCATTTCAACACGTCCTCGTCATCCTCTCGTTGGTTCTGCTCTTTTGCAGTTCGGCTGAGCCTCCTCCTCACCAAATTGCTCCTCATTACCTGGCTCCTCACCTTCTCCTCCTCTCCCCCGGCCCGCATCGGCTGTGAGAGAATGCCCGCCTCAGACCGCAAGTCGAAAGTTGTTTTCTTGCCGTTTGACGCCTTTCGGAAGCTCAGGTTGGGATGGTGGGCGACGGAGAAGTCTTAGAAGGCGGAGAAGGCTCTTCGCAAGACCTCAATGGTACGTACCTTCGGTGCAGGAGAGTCGTCCGCTCATTAACCGATGTGTCTGTTTTGTATTGGCGTGGCTGTACCCACGTACACAGGACATTCAAGGTTCACCCTGACAAGCCGGGCGGCAGCGCAAAGAAGTTCGACGCTGAAGAAGGCCTGCAGGCGGCCGGAGGGTGAGCATAACTGAGCAACAACAGAGTCTGCAAATGTGCTGGCAGGATTTCTGTCGTCCTTTCTGATGTCTTGCCGCCGACAGACAAGCTGCAAATGCAGCCAAGGAGGCCCGATTGCACACTCTCCCTCGCTCGAGATGAAGGCAAGGCTGTACAAAGCTGGCATTGCCTGGCAAGCTGACGGGGTGGCAAAAACGTCGCTGGCCTGAGCGTTGGCCTATCGTGGCTGGACCGAACATTATCAAACGTGAAAAGGAGAAGACATCCATTGCAAGATGATGCCAAACTGCGGCGAGATTTCACTTTCTCGACGGAGACGGGAGCGCGACGGTATAACGAAACATTGCTTCTGTTTTCCCCATTTGTTCCACTTTCCGTCTTCCTCCCCTCAGCGTGCTCTATTATTCCACCTGTCCAACGAAGCCATTGCAGAGTTGAGAAGGAGAAGATGCCTTCCTACGTGACCGTCGAAGACGCCTTGGCGTCGATGCCATCATCGAGCGGCAAGAGAGAGCCGGTGAGCGCTGCATATAATACGTTGAAGGCCTAGGGAAGAACAACATGATGAAGTTATGGAGGATATGGTCCACTGCATTGTGCGTCTTGTTGTTGGTGTGCAGATGCGCCGGCAGTTCACACAGGGGCAGTGGCGGGTACGTTCCCGGACCTTCGATGGATTTTATGGATGCAGCATGGCAATAGCGGTGTATGTGTGCATATCCATGGTCTTTGTGTGCAGAAGGAGGTGGCGAGGGCGGTGGAGAGCGACACCGACAGCGTGTACGTGGACGGGAGTGTGCCGGTGCGGGAGGGGGCTACATGGATGCGTGGAGGTGCTGTTTGATGTGCACGACCGCTCTCGCTATGCGTACAAGATATTCAAGCTCTACGAGACTGAGGAGGAGAGGGTACGCAAGACCACAATGGAGCTAGCGACATGCACGGATGCACGTGTGTGTGTGCATTTGCAGGACAAGGACGGGACAGTCAGCAGGTGCAGGCGCGCGAAGCTGAAAAGGAGCTCAGGACAGCCACCAGCTGGCAACCCGGCAGAAGGTCGGCCACGACAGAAAATAACGCCCTCAGAAGGTGAGAGAAACACGGCAATGCATCGTGGGGGGTGCAGACTGCGTGAGATGGCGGCGAGAGCGTGCACCTCACGGACCATACGCCGTTTCTGTTATCGGATCTGTCCGGCCCTGTGCGCGTTTGCAGGTAGCACGTCTGATGCGTGTAGATAACGTGTGACGCCTAGCGTGATGTCGGGGCGCGACACACGCCGGCCCGGCCCGGCTGAGAAGAGCACATCGAAACGGCAGGAGAAGAGCAAAGCCAGCAAAAAGGCCAGGGAGGGTGAGCACACGAACGGCCAGGTGGTAGTTGCCAAGATGCATGGATGCTTTCTGTCGTGTTCTGTCTGCAGCCAATAAGGTTAGGTTGGAGGGGCAGAAGGAGGCCGACAGATGGGAGGAGATCATCACCATACTCAACAGCGGGGCCACCATGAAGGCGAAGGCGGACCAGCTGCGCCTGATCATCAAGGCTGGCGTGAGCAAGGAGCAGAAGGAATACATTCGCCGCGCCTTCGTCGGTAGGCGCGGGACGCAGCCACCGCCCTGCAATATGAGCG